GAGTGTCTATAGAAAAGTATAGCCAAACAAAGAATGAAAGAAGAGAGACATATTATCTCAAGGAAACCAATGAAAACATCAAAACAGTTAAGATTTCCAGACCACCATCCATCGCATCACCACGTTACACTTCCTCACATGACAAATCCTCACACAACAGGTGACCACGCTTCACCCCGCCACAACTCTCTGGATCCCTGTCGACATTCATGTCCTCCTGATCCAGCTGAACGCCGATCTCTGCCAGGTCTCCGGGGCCAAAGTGCGGGCCCTGCACAAAGCCATGAGACGGCCAAATGAGGGTGGAGAAAAGCGGAGGTGTGCGACGAGGCGATGAAAAATCCTATAAGGCCTGCAGAAGGTTGTTGAGACAATGCACGCCTCAGCCACAGAAGGCACCGAAGAAAAATATATATACAGAAGGCCTTGGGCCACTGAAAAATACGATAGTAAGCTGCCAGCCACAAAGGCCCCCCGAGCTGACGCTCATGATAGACATACCTCACCACGCTTTGAACACATAGAACAGAGTTCCCTGTGGGAAGCTGCAGCGTTCTATACACTCTTGGGGGTCTTGCACATGCAATGGTACATATGGGTTCACCTGTGAATATGGTGTAATCCACGACACTCTTCCGCGACTCAAGCTAGTTTCAGTTTTAGTTAACTTGTGGATGAACTTGTGGATTCTTTAATTCGATCAGACTATGAGGGCTCAGTCAAGTTCTAAGGATCTCAAAGCTTGCCAGCACATCAGCCGAGGTCTCGCACTTGACCCCTGAAAGACTCTCAGCAGCTGGCATAGTTGTTTTTCATCACATGTCATCCACACATCGAGAAAACGACTGATCAAGTCACCCTTGCTACCTGAACAGTACGAAACCACTTTCACGACACATACTGGCTGAGAGTCTTGGGAAGTGCATTGAGAAATTTTGTTTTCAGTAGTCCATCGTGCTGTTCGCACGATCCAAAATTCGGATTCTCGCGCGATCAGTCAGCTTCTTCTGTCTGGCATCCTTGTGGCACCATGGTCGGCCCCACACTTCCACCACTCCAACGCCCCAACATGAAGATCCGGGCACAGAGCAAACTTAGCAGAACTCCACTGCTATGTCAAAGGCCTCAAAACTTTCACCCGAACAGGCAAAACCGGGCTACCCGTCAATGCTGCCAGGAGCGTTGACCTGAGGATCGGCATCTGGCGCGTCAAGCTCTCTAGGCGGGCCTTGTCTAGACTCAAGTTCAACAGAGTGTCCATGGCCTCTTTTGACTTGCTGCAAAACCAACTCCCTCATGGCGAGGTGCTCGCCCTTGCCTGATCCCTGTTTCACAGATCCCCCTGGCTGCGGAAGAATCGGAGAGCAATTCAATTCAAACTCCACCTTCATGAATTCGAGGCATGGTTTTATCTGAATTCCTTGCGCCCCTTTGCAAGCCAAGGATTAGCATTCACTTTCGCCGGAAGACAGCGCTACCGGACTTTGCTTGGCACCGCTTGTCTCCACAAGGCGATTTCCAAGGCCTGATCTCCCGCGCTCAAAAAATAGTATCTCTGCGGGTCTGCGGGGCACCTTATGATGCACCTCGGAATCCTCTGCAAACACTGCGTGTGAATCTTGAAAGGTCTAGCCATCCCCTCCAGGACTTGACTGGCTGCAAATTGGATTGAAAGTCTATCCTGGAAAGGCAGCAAGGAGTCTGAACATTGTGCCTCGGATTCCTTAATTTCATCTTGACCATCTATCTCCGATCGCTGTAGACTGACGCCGGAGAGTCCACCCTGAGTTATCAGGCATTCACAGTCCTTTGGCTCAGCTTGTCATTGAACTCCTGTTGAGCTGCAGAGAATCGTTCTGCGTAGTTATAGTTGTTCTCCACCATCCGTCTATACCTCACCACCAACAGCCTTTCGCGCACATGCCATCTACCTTGCACATCAAAACCACGTTTCTTCTTAGCCTTCCGAATCTTGTTTCCCTTGGCGCTTCTCTTGCCCCATTCAAATTGGAATGCCTCCTGACAAACCTGCATGGATGAACGCCACTGTCGCATACTAAGCTATCAGCTCGTCAAACACACCATGCGCGCTGCGTTCGCATAAGTCGGGTATCCAGAGAGAGGGAAGTTCCTTGCGACACGCCTCTGCCTTGTACAAGTTGAGTTCCTCCTTCGCGAGCCTTCACCGAACCATGTCCAGGTCCTCCACACCGGCTTGAAGCGCCGCATCAACCCATCTGCCTCTAAGCTTTAAGCCTAGTCTCAGTGCCTTTGACCGGGAGATACCCTCTTTGGCATTGAAGTCGTCCATCAACGAAAGTTTTTTCTTTCTTCCTTCAGCAGCTTTGCCATGGGCGGGGCTCCAACAAAAACATCTAACACAAGATGTTGCGTCACTCCGTCACCTCTTCCCACATGCCCACAAAGCACCCCAAAGACTGAACCAACTCTGACTCCTGACTCTGTTCCGTGAGAGCCCCAAATGAGCAGCCCAGAAGTACTTCTGTGCCAAGAGATTCATTGGGCAACTCCATAGCAGCCTCAAGGACAACCAGCTTTGGACTCGAACCGGGCCTGCTCTGTTCTTGCGCCACTGACAGGCTCAACTTCCGTCTGACCGCCTTGGTCAGCTGATCTTCTCCTATTTCTCAGCCAGCTCTCCAAAGCGCTTACTGCAAGCTTCACTGCTTCACTGTGAGGCCTTTTTTCTTTACACACCGTACTGTTGAAAGCAACCTTTGCAGCCCGGAGTCTGGCCATACTTCAGTTGTCGCTCAATGACGCAAATCCATGCCTCTTGCTGTGCGGTCGTCGACGTCATCAAGTTGCTCAACCTTCTGGCAACATTTCAGCAACACGGCGATCAACAGCTCCAAGACAGGCACTACCAGGCGCTGACCAATCTCTGAACTTGGAATCCTCACCATTGAACGTGTCTGGCTTTCGCGCGTCAACCAATGGCATCAAAGTTCCACATATTGGAAACAGTTTGCACCTCGAGGACTACCTGGAATGGACTGAAGCTGCAACCTGCTAAGCTCTGAATCCGGCTTGTTGCTACAAACTCCGCAGTCCTTGAATTACCAAGGTCAACTTCGATAGCTCTTGGCGCGTCCATTGACAAGATCTTCGGAGGACATGCTTTGCAAAGAACTCTCCAATCACCTGATCCAGTTCCTTGACTGGTCTGATGCACAGGCTCTCTCCTCCGATGGAGCTTCCCTCTCGGCCAAGGCCTTTTCACCTGGCACCTTTTGGAACGGAACCGCTTGATCGCAAACGCCTGAGCTTTGTGACCTATATAGAACTGGACGATGATCTGCACACGTAGATCAAGTCGTGCCCAACTCCTGAAGGATCTAATCAAAACAGGGGTCCGCTGACTCAGACTTGGGTTAATCTTGGAGTCGTCCTTGATCACCTTCTTAGCCTTCTTCTTCTTCTTGGGCTTGGTCTTTCAAGAACTTGGTAAACTCCCTAACGCTTTGGGTTCTGGCCCGGCCTCAGCCTGATCCAGGTCAGTGTTCTCCTCCTGCTGCAGGTCCTCCTCCGGGAACTTCCCAAACGAATACCCGAACCTCTCTCCCCTGAAAGAGACCTGTCAGAGTAGATGGTCACGATCTCCTTCTTTGCCTTAACTGAAGAAGATTCGTCCGCGCCAGTGAACGATCTTCGCGTTCAGCTTTTTCCGCCCGTTGCCAGTAGCCTTCGTCCAGTTCACGGTTGTGTCGAGTGACGCTTTTACTCGAACTGCTTGTCCTGCGATCTCGTTCCACATTTCTTGGGAATTGTCACTTATCGCACGCGGAGCCCAACAATGGCCCCACTACCATGAAACAGCAAAGGGTCACGCCTTTTGTGCTCCTTAAGCCAACATGTTAGTAGTTCAAACAGTCCCCCTTCTTCATCAGGTATTCCGAGACTTTTTGCTAAGGACATTTGAATATTTACATTTCTGGCTTGACGCATGTTGTGAAAAATGATGTATATATATATACTTTTGTTCCTTGCTTGGTTATCAAATGTATTATCTCGAAGCGCAGTCCAGGCAACATCGAGCCGACTTGGCGAGAGCGCCATGTCGGCTTTTTAGCCAGAAACACTCAACTTGCGAGAGAAAAGACTTGGGACAAACGAATTGGGAAACGCTGACTTCTGTATCAAAAGGCTACCAATGGAAAACACTAGTCTTCCGAAGAACAGCTCTTTCTGGTCGAGGTTGCCTTGTGTGATAAAGTTTCTTCCAGAAATCAGGTCTAGCAGTAGTCTCCACTTGGAAGGTCTTGATCTCTATGGCATTAAGCTCTGGATCCAAAAGGCTTCAACATGTGGGTCACCAGCCTCTCCTTGTCGCACCCTGCATGTATTTACACACACTGTCCAAAAAGGAAACCAACCGGGCCGATGTGCAAAGATGCAACAAGTACAGTGTTTGAGCTACGCGAGTAAGCATAAGGAACATGAGACAGGCTTCTAAAACGAAGCCATGGTGTGAGGAAGAGATAGGCAATTGAAACAAATGCTTGATGCTCAAGGGCTGTTCTACACACTGGCCTTCATGTGATACCTGGTACGGAAGAGAAAGGCATAGAAACTTGTGCGGAACCTCTATCAAAATGTGTGAACCTCCATTTCTCTGCTGGTTGGGCCCAACGTGACACGAAGGGTGGTCCTAGCAAACAACCAACAAAGCATGAAGTCATGAAGACTCATGAAAGCAAAGCTTGAGCATTTGGAACAGCGGAGGTGGAAACAGCTTCTTTGCTTCGGTGCGGTTCAACAACCTTCAATAACCCCAAAGCAAACAGAACATAGTATGGTTCGTATCTTTTGCTATGGGCAAGTATTGTCATTCATGCTCAAGGTTTGAAGTGAATAGGTGACAATTAGATTACTGAATCAGGAGCACATCTGACATTTGCATGCTGACTCCGAACAAACCACATCATAGTGAATCTTAAGTACATAAGGTTGGATGTAACTAACTGTTTCACTTGGATCTAAGTCGCGTGTTGGAAATGTCCGAAAGCTGCCAAATCGTAGTGGCCTTTTAGCATTTACCATATGTCTGTCGATCCACCAGGGCCATTTTGGCGCTAACGGTGCTTTGGCTTGCTGAAGAGCGATTTCAGGTGCAGCTGCATCCGGGAGCCAATGCTTTGGGCTCCAAACTTCTTGCGGAAGAGAGGGCCAACAACTGAGCGACAGGCCTCCAAGCGAGTCCGATCTTCATAGAGGAGAAACATCGCCTTGGCGGCTTTGGAGACGTCAGGATCGGCCCATCGCTGATCCGATTTGTAAATGCCTTTGAAGGGCTCTGAGACATTTACCCACGTGTAAGTGAAGGGAACCTGCATGAATCGAAACTCCTTTGGGAGCTGAGACATAAACTCCATGTTGCCACTGTAATTTGTGGCAATGACCGGCTTTCCCAACATGAGCATCTCCAGCAAAACCAAGCCATAGCCTTCTGATCGGTGCATCGAGACGAAAACATCCACTGAGGCCATCAGTGTGCGAAGATCCTCTCTGGACAGCACATCGATCATGATCCGAACCCTGCTGACTTTACTCACCTCATCTTTCAACTGCCAGAATTCTTGCTCAAATGCAAAGTGCCCAGTCGGCAGAAGACACTTGATCACCAGCAGCACTTTCGCTTTCGGCTTCAGCTCGAAGGCTTTCTTGAAGGCAGCCAATGCGGACAATGGGTTCTTGCGATGAAAACTGCTCAAGAAGTCGAACATCACCAAGAACACCATCGTGCCTTCTGGAAAGTCGAAGAGCTCCCTATTTGGACGATACATTGACAAATTCATGTCCAGCCCCATTGGCATGGTTGTCACTGGCTGTGAAAACTTCCCTGCATAGCCAGGGGCAGAAAGGATTGAATTTGTGACAAAGTCTGAAACTGTCCAAATCTCATCGAAGATTTCCATATTTCGCAGCCAAGGAGTCGGAAACACCTCCAGTTCCCAGGCCCAGTAACCGATGTTGTAATGCCGTTTCCATTCTCCAGGTGGATACTTCTGCCGAATTTCATCGGTGTTCAAAGCATTTGCTACAAACAAATTGAAATGATATGCAGGAAGACGTGTGGGTTTGACGAACGTCACCCGCTGCTCGTGCTGCTCGTTGGATGGAAGCAAAATAGGTGCAGTGGGTGTTCCCACTTCATCCAGAGCTTCCAGCGTCAAGCGGCTGGCCTCCCCAACCCCAAAGACACCGTTCAACCAACCATACACATTCACGCCAAAAGGCAAGCGCTTCTGGAATACCACTGAATTCTGTTGCTGTTCAACATGAATAATGTGAGCTTTGAGAGGTTCCAGGCCGTGGTCCCTCATGCCATCGCTGCGAAACCAACCATGCAAGTCTTCCCGGTGTTTGCCAAATGGATCGCTGAAGGCAGATTGCACATCTGGCCTTGACATATAGATTTGCCAGGCCACTTCAGGCACCCAATCCGACCCACGTGGCTCCACAATCAAGTGGTGAGCTCCCTGCAACATCCAAGAGAGAACCGACACCTTGGACCCTACATCCACTTTGAATGGATCGTGATAAGCCACGAACTCGCGGAAGGCCACTGCGTCATCTCGTCGAGAAGAACCTGGATCCAACATCCTTGCGTAATAAGTGCGAACCGCATCAGGAATCATGGTTCCGTCAGTGAAACAGCCAAAGCCGTAAGGCACGTGCCTCCATCGCATTGCATCTTCAGCTTTCAGCATCGCAAGGTACTTCTCAAAAATGGGTCGTAGTTTTGGAAAGTTTGACATTTTGTACCGAGTCTGGTGCTGAGAGATAGTTTCGATATTGTAATTCAGCAGGTTGGACATGCCGGAGAAATGCATGAAGACCACGGGCTCAGAGCCATACATCACCTTATCTTTGACCATATGAAGGTGTTTGCCTCGATAGTGCAAATTCCAGTACGCGATGTTGTAGCGTGGATCTCTCAAAATAAAGTACTTCTCCTGCGGGAAGTAAGACAGGATCCTGCCAAAGAGCTGCAAACTTGAGTTCCCACTTTCACTTGTCGGAGCCATGTTCAGCCCGCATCAGGGCACTTCGTAAAGGAACTAGACTTGATAAATGCAAAGGTATTGATTAATCTGTGCAAAAGTTAGCTGACGGGTCTTTTGCCAAGATGCGTATCACCCCAGTTCTGATCAAAGTGCATTCCCTCACTGGGAATGGCAAAGCCATAGTAGCGCAAACGTTCACCCCAAAAGTCCAGCCATTGAAAGGTCGTTGCTGTTGCGGCCAAACCAACGAAACCAAAGTTGAACCTGAGCAAAAATCCTGACCATTTCGACCATGCCAAGAGATCTTCAAGGAAGCTTCTGCGGGCAGAGTTTCCTCCAAGAACCTCTAGTTTCTGCTGTCTAGGATCTTGTTACTACAAAGCTTCCGTTTTATGCTGCCCCGAGCTGGGGACGAGTTGCCTTAACAACCCTCCGGTTGGGTCCCCAGAATTTTAGTGACACTTGGTCAAACTCAGAGCATTGAACAGGCGAGTCACACATGATTCTCTTTGATTTCTTTTTCCTCCTAGGCCGTTGGGTCTTCGGGCTAGGCCTGAACCTGGGAAGTGCAAGTAAACTAATTTGGAAGACAATCCATGTCACGTCCAGATCGTTGAAGTTTTACAGTGCAGCCCTGCAACTGGCCAGCGAGTATGATTTGTCTTTCGTCCTGCTGTTTTCCATCGATTGGAAACGGTTGGGTCGCGTGGGGGGTGATGACCAAGCTGTATTCCTCCAGCGCATCCATGATGGCTGTCAGCGGCTGCATGATCCAAATATCCTTGGCTGTTTTTACCCTTCCTTTCACTCTTAAACATCACCTGATCAGGCCTAGTCGCATTCACTCATAGAGTATCATCAAAAGGTTATGGCTAAGGAGGGAAGCGTCATTGTCAAAGTAAAGGATCTTGCTAGGTTTGTAGCGATCAAATATGAACTTGAAAGCAGCCGGCTTGATGGCGGTGTTGAAACATTGCAAGTCATAGCGGAATGCAAGTTCCAAGAAGCTGAAATTCATATGAGGTTGAAGCTCTTCCACCATGACACTGTGCCACCTTTTGGGTAGGTCATCCAAGATCTTCGAAGGAAGACTTTTGTCAGCTTGAGCTCCCCATACTTGCCGGTTGTCTGCTACAACCCAAATCAAGCAAGTGATGTCTGGATGTAGCGCTTCAACTCGACTCAGAAATGATTTCACAAAACCATAATTATTGAATGCAGAGATGGTAAACCTTGCTGTCGGCAATAAAAACAAAATGGTTTTCCGTGATAAACAAAACCAAATTGTAAACCAAGTATACATACATATCATTGCTTGTACATGTTACATATATATATATATATGTATAAAAACACACAGGTCACAGGTTTGCTTAATTCTGCAGCAAGCGAACAGGCAAGTCTTGTCTGGGAGACCCACTGAGTGCAAAATTTGAGAGCGTCCAGTGGGCGCGGTGGCTGCAGCTGCGGTGTCAGTTTCACAACCAAAAAGCATCCGGCCCTGCGACACAATGACCCAAAGACTCACAACCACGAGAAACCCAAGCACTGGCCATAGCTTCGAACGAAAAGTCTTCATTGTCTGCAACTCCCATGGACTCCGCAAGGCTGGTTACTGCGGTTGAGTTTGTGGACTGGCTGTGTTGTGTCTGTTTTCCAACGGTGTAATCCAATCTAGTCTTGAAAACACTTGGCAAAACGATGTGAATCACAGAACATCTTCTGAGTCACACGTCGGTCAAAAGAAAGTTGTCTTGGACCAACAGCTGCCGGCGGAAATAAGAAACAGTTGCCAGCCCGTCGCCAATGTCCAGCATATGAAGTTTTGCACACATTTGCTTGCCACGCACAGAATTGTTTTGTTCCGAAGCAAATGCTAGCTGAAAGGGCGGCTTCTCCGCCACAGTACAACAATGGTGAAGAAACTAGATTGGCGTGACTGTGAACAAATTGGGCCAAAAATGTGGAGACAACCGCAAACACAACTGGGAAAACTATGCCGGAACGCAGAACTAAGTGGCCTGGGCTGTGGCGAAATTGCTGCTTGGGACCCTCCTTGAAAAGACAGTAGTACGGAGACAAGGTGGCAGCGGCAAACAAAACGCCGATCACACGGGCAAACAAGTGAAAAGAAAAATGGGGAGACAAGCCGGAAAACGGCGATTAAACACATGCAAACAAGTGGGGAGACAAGGCAGCAGCGGCAGCGGTGGACCAAAACGCCAATCAACAACCCAGTCATTGAGAAGGTTTTCAGCTATCCAGCTATCAGGGTAAGTATGATGTTTGTGCTACATAAGCACAACAGACGCCAATCACCGCCCAACGCCAATTAAAGAATATCTCGGGCGGACAAACGCGAGCGCCGGCCGGGGCGGAGCGGCTCGCAGGTTCAAGTCACTCCAAGCTAACATGTCAAAGGCAGCAAAACGCGCACCGCTCCCTTTTTCCAAGGGAGTGCTTGGGCCACTGAAGGCCGATCACGAACGGTGTGGTGCCTGTCATGGTTCGACAAGTTCTGACACCCCACCAAAAGGCCAAATCTCCTGTGCAGGCCTTTTTCAAACTTGTCCTGTTCGAGCAAATAGCTCCAAGTGGCTTTCCCAGTTCTCTTCCCACTGGGAACTCATCACAGCTACACAAAAGGCTGCGAAGCCACTTCTGTACTCAGCATTCCAACTCAGGGCATGGTCAAATCTGATGAATGGATACCACTCACCAAACTTCGCTGTCAAACAAGCTTGAACGTATTCGGTCATTTGCGACCTGGAAAACAAACCACTGCTTAAAAGTCGCCGGGTTCGTCTTTCTTCATCTTCACTCATGTACCTGATGCAGTTTTCAAGCTTTGTCCAATCCAAGGCCTCAGGTGGCTCATTTCTGTCGTAGCCTTCCCAAAGGTAGTCGTCGTTGGGCAAGGTTGTTCCTTCTTCTCGCACGAGGGTTGCTCGAGCTTCACGAGCAGCCTCTTCATCTACCTCCACGCTTTCAACACCAGCTTCTTCATCTCTCTCAGAGTATGATGGCCGGTAGTGTCGTCTATACCCATGGTCTGGGCTCAGCATGAAGAACTCTTCACCACTCTCTGCATCTTCTAGGCTTTGCAGGATCCTGTAGGGTCTCATCCTGCTAAGCTCGGGGTCCCACTCTGTGAGGTAGCTTTCAACTGTCACTTCATCTCTGGCCACTTCTTGCTCTGACTCTGCCTGCTCAGACCGTGGTCTCCTCCTTGAAGCTCCCTGGCTCTCCAAGGAATTCTCTTCTTCCTCATCAAAGCTTCCATCTACTCCTTCTCGTTGTCGTCCAACCCTTGAAGCTCCTCGTCTTCGCCTCAAAGGCTGAGGCAATGGCGGTGTTGCCGCACGCACCCATTCACCACCAGTAGCCTCGACTGAGTGTCTCACAGCCCACTCTCTGAGATCTAAGCCAGATCTTCCAGGCTGTTGGTCATCTTCTCGATGAAAATCAACGAACCAATCTTCAAGAATCAAGGACTTCAACTTTCGATGTGCCCAGAACACTTTCTTCCACTTCACATACCCAACGTAGATGCCAAAGCTGAACACCATGATCGTGTAAGCCAAGAACACAAAGATGTAGAACCATAGTCGACTGCCACCAGTTTGTTCCTTATCAATGTTCTCACTCTGGTAGCTATCATTGCTCTCTTCAGCAAACTGCCCATACGCTCGCGGTTGCAGCAAGAACAAGGTAACCATCTTGACCATGGACTTTGAGATCTTCCATGAGGTCACACTGTTCTCCTCAACTATGGACCTGACCATCTCATTCTTCACCTCCTTCATCTGCTTTGCCAAGTCCTTCTTGCGAAGCTCCTCATAGAAAGCGTCTTCACCAACATGACAGAACACCTGGTCAGCACCTTCAACATGCATCTCCATCACTCCAATCAGGTGTCTTGAAAGTCTTTTGGTTCCCAGGTCTGCCATGTTCCACAACGTGGGAATGCCTTCCATCCTCAAACTTTTCTTCTTCACCTCAAGCTGCATCCACAAGTAGCGGGTGTCGATGTGCTTCAATCTTCCTACACCCAACCTTTCCGCAAATGCCCTGCACGAAGAGCTGTCTGTGATGGCCGTGATGGCCACTTCTCTCTTGCTCAAAAACTTCCAAAGCTCTTTGAGTTGCAAAGCTTCTGCCGCTCCTCCAGCGGATGCTAGGAACTCTGCCTCGCACGATGACAAGGCAATAGACTTTTGGGATCGCGACCATGCAGCAATCAAACCACCATTCAGGAAGAGCATTGCACTGCTCACACTGTGCCGTCTTCTCTGTTTTGAACTTCGGTCTCCTGCCCAGTCACTGTCTGTCCAGACTTCTAACACAGCTTGTTCTCCACAATCATCTTGGCCTCTCAACACCTCTGCTTTCTTGCTCTTGTATTTGGTGTAGGGGAGAAGGATGCCATAGTTCTCTGTCCTTTTGAGGTATAGGATCAGACGTCGAAGCTCTACCTCGGCTTTCTTCGTGGGGCGCGCCATGAACTGGCTCAGGTTGCGAACGCAATGCTGGATGTCCACTCTATCTTGAGAAATGTAGAGTAGAGTCCCCAAAGCCGATCGAAACTTGTGTTGATCCCCACCTGCCAAGACATCTTCTTCTCCACCTTCAAGGTCAAGCTGGGTGCTCTCTGGAGTAGCCTTTCCTGCTCTCGATGCCAGCTTGTAAAGCTCCACCAAGCTTGGAACATACTTCTCATGAGGCAAAATGATGATGCCTTCTGCCGTGAAGAAGTGCCTCTTCTTGAGACATCGTACAGGATCATCTTCAGCTTGGTTCACCTGTGGAAGAATGCCTGACTCACTGATGACAAACTTCTCTCTCATCTTTTCAAGAAACCAACTAAGGTCAATGGACGCACCAGCAACAATCAAGTCATCAACGTGGCATACAATGCCCAATGCTCTCTCTCGATGGCGAAAAAGTGATGGCAGGGAAAGGTGATTCTCCATGCCAAGCTCCTCAAGAGCATCTTTGAGATGATCAAACCACCTCAGGGCAGCATCTCTTTGTCCTGGCAAACATCGTGCAAGCCGCCAGTAACGCCGTGAGCCATCTTGCTTGTCTTCTTCAGGTCTCCACCATGATGGCTGCTCAACCAAAACTAGGCGAGTTTGTGGAACCAACAAAAATGCATCCTTGACATCAATGAAGCTCAAGTTCCACTGCATGATCACGTGAGTGGCCAATAGCAATCTTGTTGCTGCTAGGCTCGAAGTGGGAGCGAAAGTCTCTGCTGTAGTGTGATCGTGGCCTTTGAATTCTCTTGCCACGAACCTGCATCGTCTTTTCCATCTTCCATCTCTTACTCTCCAGTCAAAAACTGAACGCGTTGTGAGAATGCTCCCTTCTGCCAGGTCTTCTAAACTCGGTTCCTCCAAAACTCCCATCTTTAGGAGTCTGTTGATTTCTTCTTGACCAGCAGCTGCTTCTATCTTGGCGAGTTCTTCTGGCCCCACCTCAGGTGGAGTCCCTTCATCCACAACTTCATCTGAAAACAACTCCTCCAAGAAAGGCGCCGCATCCTCTGCTTCAAAGTCAGCCACTTCCTGCTCCCAAGGAAACTCATCCACTGCCAAATCTCTCACCTCCTTCACTCCTCCAGCATAGTGCGGTGCATACAATGAAGTTGGACTCCCTGTGGGATCTGTTCTTGATGCCTTCGCACGTCTCTCCTCCACTGCACTATCATCTAGCACTTGCTCACTGCCAGCACTAGGAAGAGGAAGTTCAGGAGTTGTAGGTGCTCGCTCACCAATCTCCTGAGGATTGTTGTCAAGTCCAAGCGGCAATGGAGGGACACAGATGTACTTGTCAGCAGGGTGGTCCTCATGGTCATCTGCTGCTTTGTGCTTTGAACCTCTTGACTGTGTTTTCTCTTCTTCTCTTGGCGTCTCGCCAGGGTTTTCAAGAGCATAGCGCTCCACATCTTCAGCATCAACATCTCGACCTCCTGACTGAATGCCACCAGACTGCTCACCTTCTCTCTCAGCTTCATCAAGTTGGTCTCTTTCTTTGGCTTTTCCTGGTCCACGTACTGGTCGAGGTACCATCGGTGTCGAGGGCATGATCTTCATGGGTCTTCGTTGATGAGGGTTTCTCCACGGCTTCACCTTGACCATGAAGAGATACACTGACCGCCAGGGTTCGCTTGTTCTTCGGATGGCTTTTCCTCTCATCAACCTGTCTCCAGAAACAACCAGATGCAAGTCTTCTTCATTCGTCTTGCCAACCCAAATGCCAGGTAACCACTGAGGTCCTTGCTTGACACCAGCTTGGCGTTGCAACACCATGACATACTCTCCAAAGCATACTACCTTTCCAGCATATCTGCGGCCGGTTGCTAGCTCAAAGGGAGTGGCTTGTAAAGCTCTGTGTGCTGCAAATCTGTTGATCAACCAGGCTGCATGAAGATAGACCCAAGACCACAAAGGGTGACTTCCTTCCAGAGAAATGAGACACTTGTCCTCTGCCATGTGCATCAAACAGGAAGCCTGCTTTCGAAGTGTTTGGATTGCGCGCTCAACCTGACTCGTCTGACCCTTCTTCTGGGAGTTTGTAATTGTGGTCTGCAATCCAAGGCC